TTGCAGCCATCATTGTTGTTTGGCGGGTCAGGGCTGGATTCGAACCTGCCACCTTAGGTGTATGTGGCTGGCGCCTTAGCCGCTTGAGCCACAGGTGCCGAGCCGAGACGATTTTTCAAGCAGAAACAAAATTAGAATCACTCTAAGTTTTCTTGCTTGCTAGGGATGCTGGGGAGAGGGATAAGGGTCTTAAGATCTAAGCCCACTTACCTAAGCAACTTGCTCTCACTTTACATCTCAGTAGAATTCCAAATTCTAGCATGATGGCACATAGACACCGCTGTCTATGTTGATCCTGAGTAGAGATGCTAAATGGCTACTGCTATAGTTCCCAAGCTTAGATGTTTATCAGACTCATCAAAATATTTCTCCAAAAAAAGATTTTGGCCCTTTCCTCAGAGATTCTGATTCTATCAGCTTAGAGGAAGGCCCAGAAACACAATTTTCCAAAGAGCATCCCAGGTGTGTCATTCATTCAATAGTAACAAAAACTTCAATAAATAAAAAATAAATAACATGTTCTGATTCTTGTTCTAAGAGACTAACAGGCATTATCTTTTTAAACTTCAATAACAACCCTTACAGGAAAGCATTATCATTATTTCTACTTTACAGATGAGAAAACTAAGGCAAAGAAAGGTTAAATAATTTGCCTAATTCCATACAACTAAACAAGAATCTGACTTCAGAGCCTAAACTAGATTATCTCTGACCTCTAATCACCTCAGTGAGACTGGGGGATTACATTCAAGAGTCAAAATCTACCCATTCAACAAGTACTTATTAGGTAAATACTTCTAGAGCAGTGATTCTCAACCTGTGGGTTGCGACCTGCAGGAAGTGTATTAAAGGGTCGCAACATTAGGAAGGTTGAGAACCACTGTTCGAGAGAAACATATAAAAAGAAACAAGATTAATTCAGATAATCAAAGTGCTGCTATGGAAAAAGCACTTTCCTTTATAGGAAAAAGGTCTCAATGAATATGTGGGAGGGTAAGTTTAGCCAGCACTAAGGTAAAGGTTTCTCTGAGAAGACATTTAGATGGAAACTTAAAACGATGACAGTGGTCATGGGAAAAATATTCTAGACAAAAGTCTTATGTATACAAGTGTCATGTGTTGGAGGGACAAAAAGACCAGTGTGGCTAAAGCAAAGCAAAATGACAAGATGAAGCTGGATGGTATAAAGGAACAAGACCAAGTCTGGTTTTAAGTCAGACTCTTGGTCACATATTGGCTGTGTGATTTGGGTAATTTCCTAACCTTCCTAGGTTACATTCTTGCTTTATTTATTTATTTATTTATTTTGAGACAGGAGCCTCTAGCTGTCCCCCTGGGTAGAGTGCTGTGGCATCACAGCTCACAGCAACCTCCAACTCCTGGGCTCACGCGAGTCTCCTGCCTCAGCCTCCCAAGTA